GGGAAACAATGATCTCCACTGCAGTGCCTATTTCCACCACTAGTTGTCTTTCCTACAGACTGCACCTTTAAGTCACTTCTGTGTTGGACTCCAGAGAGAGACCTAAAGGTTTCCGCCTGGTTGGGGCGATGTCGTTATTCCTGTGACTCGGACACGATGCTGTAGTCTGGGACACGCGAGTGCAGAGCTGAGTCTCCAGAAGTGCTCGTGATTAGGACAGAGATCTGAATCTGCACTATCGGCTTCATGTCCACAGTCAGATCTCCAGAGGATCCCGGCTGGTTTTGGTGACGGGGCAGATTCAGAGACAGAGAGGGAAATCTGTGCTGACCAGAGGTCCTTCTTATCCCGGGATAAATCTATACTCATTGGCCAGTGTTCTGCTCCATTGCCCGAAACAGCCTCCGCGTCATTAACCTCGAATCAGGTTTATTTTAATACCTGTAACCGCTTTCATTTATCCTCTCTATTGCAGTCTCTTCACTCTCACAATCTATCACTTCCTAGTCATCTTCTGCTTTATGATGAGCCACATGTTATATTATTACAGATACAGTCACTTACTGTGTGTTCTTCAGTTTTAAAGTAATAGTTCACCCAAAAGTGTATCTCATTATCTACTCGCCCTCATGTCGTTCCAAACCAGTGTTTTTAGTTTAGTCTGTTAAACACGAAAGGAGAACTGAAGAATCCATGCACAGCTCTTCTCCATTCAGCAGCTCATTGTTTTCACCACAACGATAGACCTTTTATAGCCCTAATGAGTGTTTCTCCTACCATTGTTTTAGGGGGGCGCCCCCCCCAAAACGACCCCCCGCCCCCCTAAAATGCTGACGAAATCCAGTCATAAAAAAGGAATTTACGCGGAATTTGTAAATCTTTTGAGGAATAAATAGAAAAGCAGTTCAGTACACTTGAAATCAAATCGCGATGTAGACAAGTGTGTGTGGATATTAAACCAGAAAGACGATTTAAATACGAATCCTGCTTGTTCTGTGTGAATGAATGGTGCAGCCGACGCGCAGTTTCATTTAACACACACACACACACACACACACACTGAAGCACGTGTGACGCTTGCGCTGTATTTTTGCCTATATGAAGACACAAATGCATGAACTTCCTCTCCAGGCTCTAGATCCACTCCGAAAGTCACTTCGTGATCATTTCACGCTTCATTTGAGAAAAACTATCATTATGACAAACACACAAACTCAAAAGGTCTTCACGGCAACCCGTCAAAATAAAAGTTCGGTTTAACTTGACAGAAATATATTACCGTTGTACAGTAGAATTTAGATATGTCCCAATGTAATAATACTAACACTAATCCAAATAAAGTATCATCAAAACTGAATTTAAGGAATAATCCATGTTTTAATTTGAACAGTAAAGCTCATTGTGCAGCACGTTATTTGACAAAAAGTTTATTTAATTTCATATGATTAAAATTGATGATAAATGATAAAAATTTGTGTTTTATGTCTTCATTTTATTACCAGAAAAAACACATTTTTTTTCATATTTTTTTTTTTAAATGTTGTATAAGTTTAATGATTCATAATACATTATTTCAATTAATTGGACACACTTTTTGATTGCTAAAAAATGTACACCATGTATCCGTAACACACCCGCTCCGCAACACTAGCAGTTTTAATCCCTTCTTTTACCTTTGCTGAACCGCTGTGAATAATTCTGCTGAAAAGTGACCGATACTTTGATCCGCAACTAGACTATCATCATCCCCTGTGCTCTCTGTTGCCCCCAGGTGGTGACGGCTATTCTGGAGTCTGGGAAGAACTTGTCTAAAGAGGAGAAGAAGAGCGAGCGATGTCCGCTGCTGTACGAGTGGCACAAGAAGCAGTACGTAGGAGCCGCTCACGGTCTGGCAGGCATTTACTACATGCTCATGCAGGTGAGAGTGTGTGTGTGTGTGTGTGTGTGTGTGTGTGTGTGTGTGTGTGTGTGTGTGTGTGTGTGTGTGTGTGTGTGTGTGTGTGTGTGTGTGTTTGTGTGTGTGTGTGTGTGTTGAAACTCTTGATGTAGTTTCAGGCTCTACTAGAACAGGTTTTCCTGCTTGAATGTTGATTATTCTCCTCATATTCTCCATTGTTGCGGCTCCTCTCTTCCCAGTCTGTCAGTAACGCTCTGTTTACTTCCTGCCTCTATGAAGCCCCTCCTTCTGAAAAGCACACTGTGCTCTGATTGGTCGGCTGGAGCAGTGTGTTGTGATTGGTCGAGCGCTTCAAGTGTGTTTGGGAAATGTCCCGCCCCTTTCCATAACCGCCAGTTTAACACACTACTAACTAACTCACCCAGGCCCCGCCCCTTTATTATGTGCATTAATTATTATAATGAGGAATCCTTCTCTCAGGATTTGACCTTCTCAAGCCATCTGACCTTTCCAGAGAACATGCTAATGTTGGCTTTTTGTCTGAACACGTTGTTCCATTAATGTATTAAAATAGCTGATGTGCAGCTGTAGATTACAGTGCAGATTTTCTCAGCTACCTCACATACAACAAATCTTCAAATAATGCAATGATAAATCATCTATTTAAGCATAACCGACTGCAGTCTGTGTAAAATATCTGCCTACTCGTAGACTCTCCTGCTAGCGGAAGGGAACAGCGGTCAGTGCTGAGATTGATTAGCGGTACTGCAACTTTAAGATGTTGATCTGTAAACCCAGTCAGTGACGAGGAGCCCGGACTGAGCCCAGATTCGGCAGTAACCGGATCACGAATGCATCAGTGAAGACTTTCACTGCAGAGTCGGCACTTCTGCCCTCGGAGGCGAACAACACCGCGTGATGGAGTTTATTCAATTTTAATATTAAACTGCTTTAGGGAAATCTAAATCACATTAGCGTTTAAAGAAGCAAGCCTGTAATAAAATTAAACCCCAAACAAAGAGTCATGTTTAAAAAGCTTTCAGTAGGGACGATTTAAAAAATAAATACTTGAATTCATTAAGGATGCATTAAATGATCAATAGTGACAGTAAAGACATTTATAATGTTACAACGATTCGGTTTTAAATAAATGCTGTTCTTTTGAACTTTCTATTCATCAAAGAATCCTGAAAAAAAGATGGTTTCCACAAAATTTGAAACTGATAATAATCATAAATGTTTCTTGAGCATCAGATCATCAGATCATCATATTAGAGTGATTTCTGAAGGATCATGTGACACTGAAGACTGGAGTACCAGTCAACTACCGTGACCGTGAGTTCTTCTCTAGTGTAAATATGAATAAGGATGGCGGACATTTCAAAGCAGTTCGAGCTCGATTCAGACCCTGACGATGTTAACGAACAAGAGGATCGTGCAGAACGGATTTCAAGCACAGACTAGGCGAGCTCAGATTTCACAGGACGTTTCAGAGTGGAATGTTTTTAATACATTTCAGATACGATGTAATCCACCATTTAATTAATATTTGTCGGAAAACTGGTAATACAAACGGTAATCGGTCACAAAACCATGGTTAATTTTCCCAAGTAGCGGTGAACCGTCTTACAAAAGCGAGAGCTTGTAATGTTCAGGAACAGTGTTTCAACCACTCTAAGTTCATCAGGCTTAGGTTCATGTAGTTCTTGAAAAGGGGATTATGTTAAATAAAATCTCTCCCTTTGTAATGTTGCAGATGTTGTTTATGCGGAAACGGCAACATTACACACTAACTCTAACTTCTACTAACTTCTCCGCTCGCACCAGGGGGCCGTGACGAGTCGGAAAACGGCGCCCCCCAGTCCGTCGGCCCTTTCGAAGCGGCGTCCGCGAAACCACTGTGGCAAAATACATTCATTTAATGGGCGAGTGGGATTTTTACAGAAACGTCCCAGGGGCCCCAAATTCGGCACGCTGACCCCTTGGCCCTCCCTGACCGACATACCAAAAGCAGGGGGCGCTAGAGCAATGTCAAATTTTTCTAAAGGCCCTAGAGATCCGCGCTTCGGGCCCCGCGTCAGCGGCCCCTGGAGGGCCAGAATCTCAAATCTCAATGTCCCACGACCCTGCGTCCCCGTTTGGCACTTTTGGTAAATATAGTGGGTTATTGGACAAATAGTGGGTTCGTGGGACGGGGGCGTGGCCTGGGAGTGGGTGGGGGGGGGGTCAACGGGAAGTTTGCGCCATATAGTGGGTTATTGGACAAAAAGTGGGTTCGTGGGATGGGGCGGCGGGGGGTGGGTGGGGGGGGGTCAACGGGAAGTTTGCGCCATATAGTGGGTTATTGGACAAATAGTGGGTCCGTGGGATGGGGTGGGGGGGTATTTGCCCAATACAGTGGGTTATTGGACAAATAGTGGGTTAGTGGGATGGTTGGGGGGGGGGGGGGGGGTTTGTCATGGGGCAATATGCTCTCTGTCGCCCACTAGAGGTGTCCGAAAACCACCTGTTCCGTGGCAAGTAGGTAAGGTTCCGTGAATAGGGGGGTTATTAATAAAGGCCCACTCCTCTACAAGTCTGTGGGCAATTGTCATCCAAATTCACCCTACGATCCCTCCGGCCCATAGTGCGACCAATGGCAGTTTATTTATATGGGCGTTTTTCCACGAACCCACGTTTGGGACTAACTAAAGTTAGAGAAGTGGAAAAGCACAATAGGACCGCTTTAAGTCAGTTCATGACGTATAACCTCAATATTGCACCAAATTAGAGCTAAATTAAACTAACTAAATTATTTTTTTGTATTTGTCGCTATTAACTCAATATTAGTCAGTTAATTTGTATGTTTAATAAAGTATGCTCATTTCCACTATCATCTATTGCAATCATCTAGCACTCACTTAATTCGTTTAGTTAATCTTTAAAAACACTAATAATTTAATAACACTTGGAATCTTTAGAAAAATACTTTTCTCATACTGCAAAGCCTAAATTCAGTTGAATCATTTAAAGGAATTAATTTTAGCTATTAGTGTTTTATTTTAAATTGATTTAGGCAAAACAGTATAGAATTCAAAATTTTAATATCAGTGTTATTGACTATAGCATAAAAATAATCATCAGCTTTTTGATGTTGATTTTAATATTGGTGCATCTTTAATCTGATTCATTTCCTTGAAATAGTTGAACCGTCTGCGTCAAGAAAGATTTTATTTGTTCTTGCATTAAATCTGTCAAATTTACAAAGTTTGGTGCAAATTATGGTTTCTTTGACTGAAAACACCTCCTTTAAGCCATTGCTGAGATGTTTGGACACACTTGACTGAATGCTACATGTGAAATCTGTTTACACTCCTTCATAAAGCATCCCAAGATGCACCATCATGTCTGGTAGCATTAGCTCACATCTGTTCTTCCTCCATCGCCGTGTCCCCTGAGCCGCATATGCAGTCGCTCCTCTGTAACCCACGCCTTTATGGGCCGTCTCCATGCTTTACAGGGAAAAGCGGAGGCGAGAGGCACTCAAATGCCTCATTTTTCATCCCCTGTAATAAAGGCGCGTGTGAGAGCGGATGCAGCGCTAGTAAATGAGCCGCTGACAGCGCTAACAGAGACGTAGCGCTGTGGTTGGTGACTGACAGATGTTCAGAGTCCAACCCTGGAGGATTGTGATGTAATCTGAGGCAATAGAAGCAGTGCTAACAGCGATACCAGCTCTGGTGTTAAACACACGCCTCGATACTCTATATACTCTATATTCATGAATAATGGAGCACTTTCTGAGGAGAAGGTTTGTTTTGGTGCCGTGAGAGAATATTCTTTTTTGTTCTGTATTTCAGTGAAGCATCTCGTATTCCTCTGTCTTCTGTTCGGGAATCTTCACTGGAGGAAGGAGCGTTTCAGTCATATGAAGTCATAGCTGTGACTGATGCTAAAGGTCCTGATATACTCACTATGAGTTCTTCAGTTCGGGGGGAAACGCAGCTGTTGTTTGCAGCGATTTTATTTAGCTAAATATCTCTTCATCCACTGATCGTCCAGGTCGGTCTCAGTCACTCATGATATGTTTGGTCTAAAACGCTAAAACTGCTCATGTTTCACCGCAGCAAATATGAGTAAATGTTCTGTCATGTTTGCAGGACTGTGATATGAAGAGTGTGTGAAGTAACATATTAGCAACAGTGTGCAAGTGAACGGCACATAACAGGCACATACCGCTATAAACATGAATATCTATCGGTACAACATGCGTCACATGACTAAACTTACGCCACCGTTTTTAAATCCCTCAGGTTTGACGGTCCACACCAGGGGCGTCACTAGGCCCTTTTTAGGGGGGCTTCAGCCCCCCTAAACTTCTGCCTAGCCCCCCTAAAAATGTGCGATTAGGCTACACAAATTCGTAGCACAAAATAGTGATCTTTAGATCCTAAACTAAAGTGTTACTTTTTTATATATATATTTTTAAATCATATTGGGGGCTTAGCCCCCCTAAAATGAAAATCCTAGTGACGCCCCTGGTCCACACTACAACACGGAAACAGCGTTTACAAGTTAATCAACTTTAGAGAGCGTTTTCAAACGAAGACGTATTAGTGTGGACAAGGCCTTCGAGATGTGGATGTTTGATCAGCTCTGAGATTCAGATCTTCAGTCAGGTTTATTTATACAGCTTTAAAGGATTACTTCACTTTAAAATAAACTTTTGCTGTCATCCAAGATGTCCATGTCTTTCTTTCTTCAGTCGAAAAGAAATTAAGGTTTTTGATGAAAACATTCCAGGATTTTTCTCCATATAATGCGCTTTTGCTGGGCACCAAACGGTCCAAGGTCTAAAAGACAGTTTCAGTGCAAACTGTTCAAAGGGCTTTAAACGATTCCAGACGATGAATAAGGGTCTTCTCAAGCGAAACGATCGCTCATTTAAAAAAAAAAAAAAAGTTTAGGTTTTATAAGCTCACATGCTCGCGTCGCTCTGTTCTGTGTGACTCTCCTGTTCGAACTCGTTCATCAAAATGAACAAATCTTTTTACGAGTCATTTGATTCATTTAACGACCGAAATGAACAAATTGACTCGTAAAAAGATTTGTTCATTTTGATGAACGAGTTTGGACCGTTTGGACCGTTTGGTGCCCAGCAAAAGTGCATTATATGGAGAAAAATCCTGGAATGTTTTCATCAAAAACCTTAATTTCTTTTCGACTGAAGAAAGAAAGACATGGACATCTTGGATGACATGGGGGTGAGTAAATTATCAGCAAAAGTTTTTTTAAAAGTGAACTAATCCTTTAATGTGATTTAATGTGATTTATACAGCACTTTATGCAACAGATGCTTTTAAACAGCAGTTTTACTGAATCAAACATGACAACAGTGTCAGAGTCTCTTTCAGCTTCAGTTTCTCTCAGTGTGTTCATGTTCTTACTCGCGACCGACTGCACAGATTAACACCTCAGAGAAGGCGGAGCCTCAGAGCCACACCCACCTATTACATCATCACCACACGGACCAATGGGAGCTCAGAGGCGCTTATCAGCCGGAGCAAACTTTTCCTGAAAGATCACTTTGACAAACTGTTTCAAACTCCAGAAATGACCTCCAAACGAACTGATTTCGTTCTTAATGACGTCACACCAGTTCCTCCTTCGATCTCGTTTGATGATGATGATGATATACACTCACCGGCCACTTTATTAGGTACCCCATGCTAGTAACGGGTTGGACCCCCTTTTGCCTTCAGAACTGCCTCAATTCTTCGTGGCATAGATTCAACAAGGTGCTGGAAGCATTCCTCAGGGAGTTTGGTCCATATTGACATGATGGCATCACACAGTTGCCGCAGATTTGTCGGCTGCACATCCATGATGCGAATCTCCCGTTCCACCACATCCCAAAGATGCTCTATTGGGTTGAGATCTGGTGACTGTGGAGGCCATTTTAGTACAGTGAACTCATTGTCATGTTCAAGAAACCAATTTGAAATGATTAGAGCTTTGTGACATGGTGGAAGTAGCCATCAGAGGATGGGTACATGGTGGCCATAAAGGGATGGACATGGTCAGAAACAATGCTCAGGTAGGCCGTGGCATTTAAACGATGCCCAATTGGCACTAAGGGGCCTAAAGTGTGCCAGGAAAACATCCCCCACACCATTACACCACCACCACCAGCCTGCACAGTGGTAACAAGGCATGATGGTTCCATGTTCTCATTCTGTTTACGCCAAATTCTGACTCTACCATCTGAATGTCTCAACAGAAATCGAGACTCATCAGACCAGGCAACATTTTTCCAGTCTTCAACTGTTCAATTTTGGTGAGCTCTTGCAAATTGTAGCCTCTTTTTCCTATTTGTAGTGGAGATGAGTGGTACCCGGTGGAGTCTTCTGCTGTTGTAGCCCATCCGCCTCAAGGTTGTGCGTGTTGTGGCTTCACAAATGCTTTGCTGCATACCTCGGTTGTAACGAGTGGTTATTTCAGTCACTGTTGCCCTTCTATCAGCTCGAACCAGTCTGGCCATTCTCCTCTGACCTCTGGCATCAACAAGGCATTTCCGCCCACAGAACTGCCGCTCACTGGATGTTTTTTCTTTTTCGGACCATTCTCTGTAAACCCTAGAGATGGTTGTGCGTGAAAATCCCAGTAGTTTAGCAGTTTCTGAAATACTCAGACCAGCCCTTCTGGCACCAACAATCATGCCACGTTCAAAGTCACTCAAATCAACTTTCTTCCCCATACTGATGCTCGGTTTGAACTGCAGGAGATTGTCTTGACCATGTCTACATGCCTAAATGCACTGAGTTGCCGCCATGTGATTGGCTGCTTAGAAATTAAGTGTTAACGAGCAGTTGGACAGGTGTACCTAATAAAGTGGCCGGTGAGTGTATGACATCATTCTAAAGCATGACTGGTGGTGATGACATCAGTAGCTGAGCCGGTCTGGTGTGTGTCTGAGCAGCTGGTTAGCAGGTCACAAATGATATAACAGCATCATGAAGGCTATTAAGGAGCTCTTCTCCAGTCCCAGTGTCAGAAGTGTGTGTTTAGAGATGGCTCCTGCGAGCTGATTGGCTTGCGGTCGGCACGGTAACATGAGTGTCGTCATGGCGACGCAGCACCACAACGATCCAGCGTTGCTGCTCTCCAACTAAAGGATGCAGATATTCATGTAGGCGTGATGATGATGATAATGACGATTTGTCTGGTTTGTTTAATTTGCTGAAACGAAACAAGCCGCCTCAACGAATGTGCAGTAATATCAGTCAATTCAATTAAAAATGTGCTTTATTGGCATGACAATTGTTTCGATGTATAGCCAAAGCATTGCTAATTTTTACAGTGAATCATCATGTACATATACATACATCAAAAGTGTTGTATTGTCTAGGCACGAGCTCTGAGAGACGCTGGTGTTTCTGCCAGGAGGGCTCATTAGTGTGTGCGGTTCATTAAAACTGAAGGGTTAATCACGCCGCCTCTCTCCTCGCAGCCGAGTGCTAAAGTGAGCCAGGAGGTTCTGAACGAGCTGGTTCGGCCCAGTGTGGATTACCTGCGGCACAAGCGGTTCCGGTCCGGCAATTACCCATCATCCCTCAGCAACGAGAGCGACAGACTGGTGCACTGGTGTCACGGGGCGCCTGGAGTCCTGCACATGCTCATCATGGCTCATAAAGTGAGTCTCTAACACACACTCGCCAGCTCAAGACACATGACAAGATATGAACATACTCCGTTTGCAATCATTCTTCCAATATAAATATATAATTACAGCAAGAGTTGATCTTATATCTCTATACATGCTCTCTCTGGGCTTTATGTTTCATAAATATGTTATCATGTTACGGTACTGTATGATATGACATCAGTGGCATCCGTCTGTCATGCCGTCCGCCTCATGTTTCTTCTGTTTTAGTTTTAAAAGTCATTGAGTTTATTTCTTTAGTTCTTTACAGTTTTTTCTCTCCCCCAGAATACAGCAGCCGACAGTGACATCTAGTGGCCACTTTTTTTTTGAAGCATAAAAGCCTTATTTTTTATTTTATCAGTGAAATTGGCTTTATTGTGATATTTAAGGCATGTTATACAATTACCATTTAATGTATTCAAAGTTTTAAAAGTACTAAAAGTTTAGTTGCATAATTAAATAGTATAGTGTCAATTAAAATCTGAAAACTGTTGTTTATAAGAGTGTTAAATATCACTATAGTTTTAATGAGTTGATATTTTTTCCTCCCTCCCTCTCTCTCTCTCTCTCTCTCTCTCTCTCTCTGTGTCTTTATCTCTCTCTCGCTGTTTATCTCTGCGTGACGCTGTAATCTGTGTGTTGTGTGTCTCATGTGTTCAGGGAGGAGAAGTACCTGTGTGACGCTGTAATCTGTGTGTTGTGTGTCTCAGGTGTTCAGAGATGAGGAGTACCTGTGTGACGCTGTAATCTGTGTGTTGTGTGTCTCAGGTGTTCAGAGATGAGGAGTACCTGTGTGACGCTGTAATCTGTGTGTTGTGTGTCTCAGGTGTTCAGAGATGAGAAGTACCTGTGTGACGCTGTAATCTGTGTGTTGTGTGTCTCAGGTGTTCAGGGATGAGAAGTACCTGTGTGACGCTGTAATCTGTGTGTTGTGTGTCTCAGGTGTTCAGGGATGAGAAGTACCTGTGTGACGCTGTAATCTGTGTGTTGTGTGTCTCAGGTGTTCAGAGATGAGAAGTACCTGTGTGACGCTGTAATCTGTGTGTTGTGTGTCTCAGGTGTTCAGAGATGAGGAGTACCTGTGTGACGCTGTAATCTGTGTGTTGTGTGTCTCAGGTGTTCAGGGATGAGAAGTACCTGCGTGACGCTGTAATCTGTGTGTTGTGTGTCTCAGGTGTTCAGGGAGGAGAAGTACCTGTGTGACGCTGTAATCTGTGTGTTGTGTGTCTCAGGTGTTCAGAGATGAGAAGTACCTGTGTGACGCTGTAATCTGTGTGTTGTGTGTCTCAGGTGTTCAGAGATGAGAAGTTCCTGTGTGACGCTGTAATCTGTGTGTTGTGTGTCTCATGTGTTCAGGGAGGAGAAGTACCTGTGTGACGCTGTAATCTGTGTGTTGTGTGTCTCAGGTGTTCAGGGATGAGAAGTACCTGTGTGACGCTGTAATCTGTGTGTTGTGTGTCTCAGGTGTTCAGAGATGAGGAGTACCTGCGTGATGCTGTAATCTGTGTGTTGTGTGTCTCAGGTGTTCAGGGATGAGAAGTACCTGTGTGACGCTGTAATCTGTGTGTTGTGTGTCTCAGGTGTTCAGAGATGAGAAGTACCTGTGTGACGCTGTAATCTGTGTGTTGTGTGTCTCAGGTGTTCAGGGATGAGAAGTACCTGTGTGACGCTGTAATCTGTGTGTTGTGTGTCTCAGGTGTTCAGGGATGAGAAGTACCTGTGTGACGCTGTAATCTGTGTGTTGTGTGTCTCAGGTGTTCAGAGATGAGAAGTACCTGTGTGACGCTGTAATCTGTGTGTTGTGTGTCTCAGGTGTTCAGAGATGAGGAGTACCTGTGTGACGCTGTAATCTGTGTGTTGTGTGTCTCAGGTGTTCAGGGATGAGAAGTACCTGTGTGACGCTGTAATCTGTGTGTTGTGTGTCTCAGGTGTTCAGGGATGAGAAGTACCTGTGTGACGCTGTAATCTGTGTGTTGTGTGTCTCAGGTGTTCAGGGATGAGGAGTACCTGTGTGACGCTGTAATCTGTGTGTTGTGTGTCTCAGGTGTTCAGGGATGAGAAGTACCTGTGTGACGCTGTAATCTGTGTGTTGTGTGTCTCAGGTGTTCAGAGATGAGGAGTACCTGCGTGACGCTGTAATCTGTGTGTTGTGTGTCTCAGGTGTTCAGGGATGAGAAGTACCTGCGTGACGCTGTAATCTGTGTGTTGTGTGTCTCAGGTGTTCAGGGATGAGAAGTACCTGCGTGACGCTGTAATCTGTGTGTTGTGTGTCTCAGGTGTTCAGGGATGAGGAGTACCTGTGTGACGCTGTAATCTGTGTGTTGTGTGTCTCAGGTGTTCAGGGATGAGAAGTACCTGCGTGACGCTGTAATCTGTGTGTTGTGTGTCTCAGGTGTTCAGGGATGAGGAGTACCTGTGTGACGCTGTAATCTGTGTGTTGTGTGTCTCAGGTGTTCAGGGATGAGGAGTACCTGTGTGACGCTGTAATCTGTGTGTTGTGTGTCTCAGGTGTTCAGGGATGAGAAGTTCCTGTGTGACGCTGTAATCTGTGTGTTGTGTGTCTCAGGTGTTCAGGGATGAGAAGTACCTGTGTGACGCTGTAATCTGTGTGTTGTGTGTCTCAGGTGTTCATGGATGAAAAGTACCTGTGTGACGCTGTAATCTGTGTGTTGTGTGTCTCAGGTGTTCATGGATGAGAAGTACCTGTGTGACGCTGTAATCTGTGTGTTGTGTGTCTCAGGTGTTCAGGGATGAGGAGTACCTGTGTGACGCTGTAATCTGTGTGTTGTGTGTCTCAGGTGTTCAGGGATGAGAAGTACCTGTGTGACGCTGTAATCTGTGTGTTGTGTGTCTCAGGTGTTGAGAGATGAGAAGTACCTGTGTGACGCTGTAATCTGTGTGTTGTGTGTCTCAGGTGTTCAGGGATGAGGAGTACCTGTGTGACGCTGTAATCTGTGTGTTGTGTGTCTCAGGTGTTCAGGGATGAGAAGTACCTGTGTGACGCTGTAATCTGTGTGCTGTGTGTCTCAGGTGTTCAGGGATGAGGAGTACCTGTGTGACGCTGTAATCTGTGTGTTGTGTGTCTCAGGTGTTCAGGGATGAGGAGTACCTGTGTGACGCTGTAATCTGTGTGTTGTGTGTCTCAGGTGTTCAGGGATGAGGAGTACCTGTGTGACGCTGTAATCTGTGTGTTGTGTGTCTCAGGTGTTCAGAGATGAGGAGTACCTGTGTGACGCTGTAATCTGTGTGTTGTGTGTCTCAGGTGTTCAGGGATGAGGAGTACCTGTGTGACGCTGTAATCTGTGTGTTGTGTGTCTCAGGTGTTCAGGGATGAGAAGTACCTGTGTGACGCTGTAATCTGTGTGTTGTGTGTCTCAGGTGTTCAGAGATGAGAAGTACCTGTGTGACGCTGTAATCTGTGTGTTGTGTGTCTCAGGTGTTCAGGGATGAGAAGTACCTGTGTGACGCTGTAATCTGTGTGTTGTGTGTCTCAGGTGTTCAGGGATGAGGAGTACCTGTGTGACGCTGTAATCTGTGTGTTGTGTGTCTCAGGTGTTCAGGGATGAGAAGTACCTGTGTGACGCTGTAATCTGTGTGTTGTGTGTCTCAGGTGTTCAGGGATGAGAAGTACCTGTGTGACGCTGTAATCTGTGTGTTGTGTGTCTCAGGTGTTCAGGGATGAGAAGTACCTGTGTGACGCTGTAATCTGTGTGTTGTGTGTCTCAGGTGTTCAGAGATGAGGAGTACCTGTGTGACGCTGTAATCTGTGTGTTGTGTGTCTCAGGTGTTCAGGGATGAGAAGTACCTGTGTGACGCTGTAATCTGTGTGTTGTGTGTCTCAGGTGTTCAGAGATGAGAAGTACCTGTGTGACGCTGTAATCTGTGTGTTGTGTGTCTCAGGTGTTCAGGGATGAGAAGTACCTGTGTGACGCTGTAATCTGTGTGTTGTGTGTCTCAGGTGTTCAGAGATGAGAAGTACCTGTGTGACGCTGTACTCTGTGTGTTGTGTGTCTCAGGTGTTCAGGGATGAGAAGTACCTGTGTGACGCTGTAATCTGTGTGTTGTGTGTCTCAGGTGTTCAGAGATGAGAAGTACCTGTGTGACGCTGTAATCTGTGTGTTGTGTGTCTCAGGTGTTCAGGGATGAGAAGTACCTGTGTGACGCTGTAATCTGTGTGTTGTGTGTCTCAGGTGTTCAGGGATGAGAAGTACCTGCGTGACGCTGTAATCTGTGTGTTGTGTGTCTCAGGTGTTCAGGGATGAGAAGTACCTGCGTGACGCTGTAATCTGTGTGTTGTGTGTCTCAGGTGTTCAGGGATGAGAAGTACCTGCGTGACGCTGTAATCTGTGTGTTGTGTGTCTCAGGTGTTCAGAGATGAGAAGTACCTGTGTGACGCTGTAATCTGTGTGTTGTGTGTCTCAGGTGTTCAGGGATGAGAAGTACCTGTGTGACGCTGTAATCTGTGTGTTGTGTGTCTCAGGTGTTCAGAGATGAGAAGTACCTGTGTGACGCTGTAATCTGTGTGTTGTGTGTCTCAGGTGTTCAGGGATGAGAAGTACCTGTGTGACGCTGTAATCTGTGTGTTGTGTGTCTCAGGTGTTCAGGGATGAGAAGTACCTGCGTGACGCTGTAATCTGTGTGTTGTGTGTCTCAGGTGTTCAGGGATGAGAAGTACCTGCGTGACGCTGTAATCTGTGTGTTGTGTGTCTCAGGTGTTCAGGGATGAGGAGTACCTGTGTGACGCTGTAATCTGTGTGTTGTGTGTCTCAGGTGTTCAGGGATGAGGAGTACCTGTGTGACGCTGTAATCTGTGTGTTGTGTGTCTCAGGTGTTCAGGGATGAGAAGTACCTGTGTGACGCTGTAATCTGTGTGTTGTGTGTCTCAGGTGTTCAGGGATGAGAAGTACCTGTGTGACGCTGTAATCTGTGTGTTGTGTGTCTAAGGTGTTCATGGATGAAAAGTACCTGTGTGACGCTGTAATCTGTGT